AATTGGGTAAAATCTCTGTATTCTCTTATTCCTATTATAAGACAACCTATATTGGTCATTGGCAAAATATTCTTTAATTACTTCGAATTAAAATGAAATTAATAAAAGTCAGGATTATAAATACCAGAATCTTTTCCCAAAAGTGTTTTAGTTTCATATCATAATTTAATTTTTTGTAGCAAGTTCAAGAAAGGACACACCATGTTTGCCCCTGAGCGCTAGCGGTTAACAGAGAAAAAGTTTAACCAACCACAATGATATAACTCAATTTTATTCGAAACGGAAAATTAGCAACATGAGAAATATAACTACAAGAAAAATAATATCTGAATTTGAGGAACATTTGAGAACTCAATCATTTTTATAGAGAAAACTTTTAAGCTAATTTATCTGAAACACATGTTTGCATTTTAAAAGATAAACAAATGCTTCAAAATTAATCTTTCACAAGTTGAATCAAACCTTCGTAAAACAAAAACGAATCTAAGTCGAGATAAAGAGCCGCATAATCAATGATTCGCTTTCGTCATTGTAAGCGATCGTTACTTACAGACTTTGACAAGACTTATTAAAAAACAAATCTAAAATTTTTAAATTTCAAATCAGGATTCGCCGATATAAATCAGCTTGATTTAAATCACGATCTCAATCACTTAAGCTGTAAAAAAAAAAAAAAAAAAAAAAAAAAAAAAAAAAAAAAAAAAAAAATTTTTTTTATGAAACAGGAGAAAAAAGTAGTCGCTTACTTGTTCTCTGGAGATGTTTATTATTTTATGTGAATGATTTAATACACTCAAAAAGTATAAATTGGGAAATGAAGTCAGAAAATTAATATTTTAGTACTGTAATTCCACACCCTCATAGTTTTAAGAAAAATCTGAAATACTTTTTTTTTCCCTTTGAAGTTCTTATTACTTTTACTCCATGCTACAAAATCATAAGTAGACATCTTTCGAACTACTTATTACTTTATACAAGAAAAAATTTTTGTAGTAAAAATTATCTTTTCTAGCGGAGTTCTCCCAAGGAATAAAAAAGGGCAAGATGCTGCCTCTTAGAAAAGTTTTAAAAGGGCACCTTCAACACTAAATTTATCAAAATGTGTAATATTATGTAGTAAGTGAATTTGATTCTCGACAATTTTTAAATAACTCTCTCTCATTATCTGAATAAGAGAAAAATTTATTGTTCATAAAAATAATTAAAGGCATGCTAATAGACAATCTCTAAGCATGATTTTTTTTTTAAATGTAAAATAAGAAATTATTAATTGATAAACAATTTGAAGGATTTTTTTATATAATTTAAACTGAAAATTATGAGCAATAAATATTTAAAGTTGTATTTTTTTAAGAAAAAGTTTTTTAATTAAAAAATAACTTATACAACTATAACCATTAAAAAATTTAATAATACCATCCCCCTGAAAAAAGATACTTAAAAAAATTTAAGGAGTTGAGAATATATTTGTAATAGTAATCAGAATTAAAACTGAATTCCCATATTATTTTACCAGTACGTAATATTATTTTAACAGTGAATTAATTTTTAAAAAAATGGAATATGAATAAAAGGCAGTATTTTTAAGGGATGGTGGCTATTTTTACAAATATAGTCATAAAGGATGCATTTATAGTGAACAAAGGGCAGGCAGGACGGTCCGCCCTTCTTAAAAACGCTTAGGGTGAAGTTTTTAGTTTTAATTTTAGTAATTTTATTAATATTTTTCCTGAATATGCCTTATGAAACTTGGCTTTGTAAATAGCTAACTAATAAACGTATATGTATTCTCATAAACTAAATAATAATCATTTCACCAGATAGTTTATTTTGAAATGCGATGTGGCAGTTGATGAGTGAGTTTTGCATATAAGTTTGTTTTATTATGTGCAAGTTTGAAAAAAATATTATTTCTGATAACTTTTGCAAGGTTCGTAATTTTACTTCAATTTTTCAATTTATGAAATACATTTTAACGTTTTTAAGTAGATCTGAAAATTTTTAAATTTTTTTCATTAATATTTATTATTTTACAATTAAATTGCATTAAATTTATGTCTATAAAAATTAAATAATCTAAAGTTATCTAATAAAAAAAACTGATCATATTTTTTAAAAAAAATATTTTTTCTCTATCTCAAATACAGTAAATATTCTCAGATAACAGTTTTAAAACTCAATATCTTAATAATCTACGCCCCCCCCCCTCTTATTTCCTTCAATTTAAGCTTTCCAATCCTGATATCCTTCCCTTAGATGCACATCACTGACTTAAGTCGTATAGTGCTGTAGCAATTGGTATTCATTATTGAACCTTTTTTTTTTGTGCGTGTATTTAGTTTTTATATTATTTTACAGAATATTTTTTTCGCATTTTTTGAAGAAATTTTTTTTTTATTTTATTTATATTTATCGCAACATTAAATATAGTTCCCTTTTATAAAAAAGCAACAAAAATAGAACCCAGGCTGAAAGAAGACAACTTACAGTAATCTTAGATTTACAAAATGGATTGGTCCTGGTTCAAATGTTTAATTTGTATTTTTTTAAGGGGCTCAACACTATAATAGATAACCTACAAATCATTGCAAACTTAAGTTTTTTACTTCTTGCAGATAATAGAACTTCTTAATTAAAAGCTGAGAACTGATAAGAATCAATTCGTATTCTTTTTTTCTAGACACCAGAATTTTAGAGAGAAAAAATTTCTTAAACGTTAAGGGTGCTTAAAAAGGTGGAAGCCGAATATTGGGCTTTAATTTAACAAGTATGGGATCATTCTAGACTTTTTGGCTGTGTGAAAGGTCTGCTTTTTATTATTACAATTTTTTTTCTTTTCATTTTTGATTTACGAAATATTTATCCAAATCTTCTGTATCTAAAAATAGCATGAACTTAAACAAAAGTTTGCGAAAATAAGGTCTAATTGCTGTAATAATAATAATGTAATTCTGTGAAATAATCTTTTAGGGGATTGCAGATTTAGTAGTTAAAAAAAATTATTGGAACACTCAAATGTTCAATGTCTCAACTTATGACTCAATGTCAACTCAAATGTCTCAACTTATGTGTATACATTTCATTTCAGTACACAGTCAGCATACATTTTACTAATACAGTGCATATAAGAACTGAAAGGGGTTTATTTCAGACTCTTCGCGAATCTGTGGGGAGAAAAATGAATAGTATAGTGGTTCTGTTTTTGCAATTCTAATGCAAAGTCACAAAAACTATTGGTCCGTCTAGACTTAGTGTGAAAAGGTTCTGTTTGTGGTTATTAATGAAAAATCTACTCACAATTTTCATTTTCCAGGTTTTTAGGAAAAGAAATAGAAAACACAAAAAACATGTTTTTCAAGGGAATAGTTTTAAAATATTGAATAAAAAAATACCGTTCCTTTAAAAGAACAATATAAAAAGCTATTTTTAAAAGTGAAAAATATTGTATAGTGTCTTTTTTACAGCTAAAATTCAAAATGAAGACTTTTGAGGAATGAAGATGTTTTGAGATAAATTAATTTTGTTCATGGTCTATCGACGGACCCAACTTTCTCCAAGAATAACTCCCCTGTACATACCTCGCGATAACTTATCAATGCTACATGCAATTTTCTTTTATTTAATATGAAAATTGCCCTTTCCGCTTAAAAAAAAAAAAGAAGAAAAAAAAAAAGGAGGGGAAATGGTTCGATAAAGCTGTAATAAGACAAATGTAATTATAAAATATTTACAATGCAATAAATAAATTTGATACAGAAAGGAGAAAAAAATAAATTTCTAGTAATAACAATTATTTATTTGGTTTTACGCATATAAGGGGTCTGTCTGTTTAGGAGAAATTTTGGACCTTTATTACTCTTCAAAAAATTATTTCAATTTAAAATTTTCCATCTTAAAAACTACCTTTTTCTATTTTATTCTTATTTTATCCTCGTTTTTCCGAACTTTTTTTTAAAATCACGAAAACAGGACTTCTATTTTGCATACTTTAATGAAACGCTTATTTAAGAGTCTTTCGCAAAAACGTGACTATTTAAGCTCCTTTTTTTTATAAATGGTTACACGACCATTTTTGGATACTGAGCCACAAAAACCATGAAATATTACACATACGCAAATTAATTTTTTATATAATAAAATAATTTATTCTGAATAAATCAAAGCATATAGTTGGAAGATAAAGGCAAACAAATACCTACAGACACTTTGTTTATATGAAAAGTTAAAATTTACAAGAAAATAGAAATTTTTTTTATTACTATTCTTAATATAGTATCAGTTTTGTGATTTGAATCCCACACATTTATTTGTATTAATTTAAAAAGAAATTAATTTTCACAGCTAACACTCAGCAACTTACTTTCACAGAGAACAGCAAAAAATAAAACTAAAAATTTTCATTTTTTTATCAGTATTTAAGACAGCTCAAAGGACTCTTTTGGTTCGATAGCTATAGATTGTGCATCCCTGCGTAACACCCAATAATCTTTAAAAATATTTAAAATTACGTTTCATTTACCTCATCTTTCCAGTTTTTAAGAATTTAGAAAACAAAATTTTTTTTTCTGATATAGTATCAGATTTACGTGATTGGAATCACTTTAATTTATTTGTACCAATTTGTAAGAAATAAATTTTTACAGCTAACAATGAACCCATTCCCATAAAAAAAACCTTCAAAGAATTAAGTGGTTAGATTAGAGTATGATACTGCAATAAATCAGCAATTTATTTTTACTAAGAACCACTCATATTTTTTATTTATTTAATTTTTCATTTATATTAGAGATAGCTCAAGGGTTAATTTTGTCCATGGACCATAGGTGGAAACAAAAAAAAGAGAAAGGAAAATAAGAAAAAATAACACTATGACAAATAAGAAGAAAGCGATACGTAAGGGAAAAAAACCCAGAGTGATAAGTAGATAAATTGTTTTGAGTAGTACGATACTGTAATTGGTTGACTTAACTATAGAGAAATCGATACAATTGATTACTCACCATAATCTTCGGATATACTGCCGAGAACATTGATGACGCGTGCCACATCATCAGTGTTCTCGTGAACCAGCCGTAGCGTCTCCAGAAGGTTGCGTACCACAACTTGCCTAGAAATAAAAAATATTTATATGAATATCATATTGAGAATTTTAGAAACTGAGCATTAAAATACTTGTCTCTTGATGCGTTGTTGATGTGAAACAGTTTCGACAAGTATTTTTAAAATCCAATAACATTGACACTGAACTTAAAATTGTACAAAATTAAGCAAAACGCTTTTCACATCTTAACTTCTTAAGAAAAACAAACTTTAAAAAACTAATTTACATACAAACATGAAGAGCAAGTTTTTAAAAGTATTTTTTTGACTAATGATGACATATATGAACTTTTCTCCAGACAAATCTTTCAAGAGAAATAAAAAAAATGGTTTAAAAAAAAAACCCTTCTTGGAGGGGTATAGAAGTTCTAAGTTCTACCCAAGAAAGTTTTAGAAGATTCATTCACTATACATTGGCCATTATTGTGGTAAAATTTTTTGGGGGAGGAAAGAGATAAGAAGAAAATAAACTAATTTTAATGAAAAAAAAATAGAAAGGAAAAGCACGATCATTTTTATGATTTCTTAGAAAAATCTACCTTTCCCTTTATGGCAACTGCTCGTTTTTGTACTATTATTTAATTGTTCAAATAGTTCATTCAATTGCATTTTACAGCCATATAATTAATGGACATGGGCATTCTAAGAAACTGGGGGTAAATGACAGATTCATATCAGGTTATTTTATAAATGAATCATCAGGAAAAGTATGCTTTTTTTCTTGTAGTGAAATGAGTTTAAACTACAAAATACATTTTTTTATATACTTGAGTGTTCGTAAGATTTTCACACTTCATACAAAACACAGAAATGATGACATCTAACATTCTTGTGGGTTTAGTTGAACGCATAATGGAACCACGAACGCATGATGAAACCGCAACTTGTCCATGCGTGAACATAACATTTTAATAGCGTGACCATAATATAAAGGTTTAAAGTTAACATCGAACAATAATATATCGACAAAAAACATTTAATAATGTTTGAAACGAATCGGCACAAAAACAAAAAAAATAATAATTATTAGTATCATGCAAAAAAAAAGTTTTGAAATTCAATTAACTTTCTTTCGCTTAGCTAACCTACCAGAGATAAGCTTGGGCTCGCTTTTGGAGGTCCGGGCCAGAGAATTTTCATCCGAGCCCACCTGAGCTTGAGATGCATAGGGTTACTTAGAGTCCGAGATATATATATACGTTGGATAAAGGCCAAATTTTGGGAGCACTGGACAAAAGAACCGAACATAAGTAGTAGATAGTAGTAATTTTTTTTATAAAAATTAGATTTTATAAACAGTCCGAGTCTGTCTCATAGCTGTCTTTTACTTACTTATATTTACACCAATTAGCTGTTTCGTTATTAAAACATACATTCAGGTGAAAATCGCAAATAAGTGACAAAAAAGAAGGAGAGGGGGGGAGGGAAGAACAATCACAAATGTGGAACTTTTTTATTAAATCACATTTAATTTAAGGATAATTATTCTAATAAAAAATTAAAGGTTAATAAATAAAACTAAATTAACTATAAACAATGCCAGTTGAACGTTAGTTATCATTCAAAATACTTAACACCTGGCATATATTAATTATTATATATATATGCTAATTATATTAATTAAAATTTAGAAAGTCGATAAATATTAACTCTAATGAATGACAGGAAGTATTTAATTCAAGTGTATTTATTTTATGGCAAAAACTATGATTAGAATGAGAGATGGAAATTGAAATAGATGAATCAGTTTTTTAATAAATATTCGTAGCAAATTTAAAATATTTTATTTCGAAGCACGACAGAAAAGAGTAACGAAAGATAAACTTTTAAATGATTAAGAGATTCAATCAGCATTATGCACTATGTCATGCAGCACAAATTGTTATTTAACATTTCCGCCTGTTAGGTAAGCAAAAATATTAAATTGCAGTTTTGCACTTAAAAAACAATAAATACGTTTCAAATTGAACGTTATTTTCCGATATTGGCACTATATAGAATGTTCAGATTCACTCTATATTTTATGATCATTATTCAGGACCGCTATTCTAGGACCAATATTAAAAAAATCGAAATATCCCAATACCATATTTGAGCCCAGTTGAATTTTATTCAGAATATTTTTCCGATTAATAATACACAATTAAATTGCGACCGAAAATTCTGGTATTGCTTCAGCTTTTTCTGACAGATAATTTGAGAAGAATGAAGACGCAACTCTTGTCTGAATATATATATGCTAACACTCTAATCATAGACGAGGCAGTGCCCTTTGTCAATCAAAAATAAACAAAATAAGAAGCAATAAAATATAAGAGGTAGTGAATGAATCTTTTTGAAATATTTTCTTTTATTTTGTGGGAACAGAAAACCGGTTTCCTTACGTAGCGATGGGGGTGTACCTAACTCACTACGCAAGTCAAAAAAAATTTTCCCATGGCCGTAAAAAAATATGATAAAAAGATTCGAAGGGCAAGAACTAGTGGAATGAAATATTTTCTTCCTCAAGACGAAAATGGTTTTAAGGAATGTTGGGCATGCCGACCTCAATCACAAGTGCCCATCATTCACTTTTTTTTCTTCTTTTTTTTAATCTGATCGCAGCGCTCAGTGTGCCCCCTAGCCGATATCCAGTCCTCCACACCTGCGGTTTAAAAAGAATGCATTTTTCCCTTCAGGGTCAGAAGGGTAATGTTTCAAGAATAAATAGAATCGCCTTTGAAGCTCGTTTTGCAGATGGATGCAAATAAGCACAGCCTTTCCAAGAATTCCGCAACCTGTGTAGAATTCCAGGAGCTGGTTTGATGACAGAAAGACTGGCTTTTAAATGATTAATCCAGCTTATTAAGCTTGATACAACCAAATATGAATTTTACACATTTGTTGAAATATATGTATTATCACACAAAATATTTAACATCAAGTTGTCAACTGACTTCGTTACTAAGAAAAAAAATATTTATAACTAAAATGCAGTTAAAAAATTTTTTTTAACTATAATACAGAATCTCTACAAAAATTTATCAGTTTAAAAACCGTTATAAAGAAATTAGATAAAAAATTATTTTCCGTTTAATAAACATCTAAAGTATAAAATGATTAGAAGTATACAGTTTTAATGAAGAAAAAAATTCATATAAGGTTAAATCAAATCATATTATGAAGATAAATAAAATGAAAAATTCCCACATTATTTTTTAAGCGATAAAAAAGATCAAATTTTAATAATACAGGAGCTCTACCATTTGTAGGACACCGGGGAGAAAGGGACTTGTAAGCCATTGCTATATTACTGTACGTAGTTCCAAATCCAACAGCATTACCTATGTTCTAACTGATATACAAGAAATACATAAAAATTGAATTGTGTGGAGAGAAAAAATTCACAATTACCAACATTAACTTTTTTACAATGCGATACCTGCACGTGACGTAGGGTGGGTAACTCGATCCTGATTGGTTGTTGAAACGTGGCATTTGTTTACATGAGCAACTGTTCTTTACATTCTGTTCTGAGTCGGCCAAGACCGCCAGTATCAATTCTTTTACGTGATACATTCTATATTCTTTCACAAGGATTTTTGTTCTTTCACTGTATATTTCTTACTTAAGGCAAAGGCGGAACGAAGCCATGTTGAACATAAACACTAATTATGCATCGAAGTTTCCAAATACACTAAACTATTAAATATATCAGTTACAATAAAATTCGTAGACGAGAGACTATTTCAAGGAATTCGATATGCGATACGGCAATGTGTTTAATTATTGCGTAATGTATTTTTGCTATTTTTCCCCGCCCTTCCTTTAAAAATCGAACCTAAACATGAACCATTGGCTTACTAGAAATAGGAGATACTCTTCTCGAAAAGGATTTAATAATTGATCGATTTTAAAAATATCATTTAAGACAAAAAGAATCATGAATTAAACGTGCAGGAGTCAATTTTTAAATCACTAGCATAAAGGGTATAATAATGCACTTTTAAAAAAAAAAAGATCGAAATATAATTGATAAGTTAATGAATAACTCTCAAAAGAAAAACTAATGTAACAAAATGATAATAAAATTGTTTTAACGTACATAAACTTTGGTACTTAAATTACACTTAGTTTCAAGATTAACTGACCATTTTGGGGTTGCGCCAGTTTGAGAGATAAGTCGAATCAGATCTACTATGCAAAACCAATTACGTTAAATATACTTAGTTAAATTTTTCAACTTTTACTGGCTACACTACTTAAAAAAATAAAAAAAAAGTTTATTACTTAATTTTAGAAATAAAATTCTCCGACTTATTCTGGTATCTGAAGAATTTCTATGTAAACCTAGATTATATTTTATCAATACCATGCAATTCCTCAACGGAAAACTTTTTTTTTTATCTGTAATGCCAAATATTAAATTTAAAAATAAAAAAAAATCATTGTCTAAGGATATAAACACAGAAAATTTTCACGAAATTGAGAAATTTTTACAATAAACAAATATAACAGATGTCGGAATTATTTAAATCGAATCTCTCAATAACTCATTACTGTTATTGACAATTTGAAGAATGGTTATTTTCCATGTTTAAGATGAAATTTTTCAGATTTTTGTATACAAAATACAACTTTTCCTGTCGGTTCCCTGCTATTTAGTGACAAAACAAAATTCTCTGAATTAATTAATTCTCTGAATAATTATTGGATCACAAGTTCGAAACGAATAGCAGATTATTAAGATTCTCCTCTACGAGAGTAGAAGTATCAAAATCAATACACTGTGGCTAAACAAATACTGGGTGTGGATGGATAAAAACTTGGTGAAAATAGAATATCTTTTCCAATGGGTAACTAAGCAGAGGCAGCAGCCAAGAGAGGCCACTGACCTAATCTGATATTTTACCCTCAGGAGGGCAAATTTTTCGCAAATACCTTCACGTTCTTACCTACAGCGAATGGCGGGAAGGGAGTTAAGAAATGCTTCATTTTGGTTGGACTGACGGCACTTTTGAAGAATGC